AAAAAAAAAAAAAAAAAAGAACATTATTCTTAAAAATTACCATTTTAACATATACCAAATTGTGAGTATTTAATGAAGAAGAGAAAGATCACAACATATTACTAGAGCCTTGGATTCAGATCCCTTTCTTTAGGCAATTTACCAAAATTGCAGGTATGAAAGGCTTTCTATTGACAACCCTGACTTCACCCCGCCTACAAAACATTACAACTCCCAGCAATCACAGGGGTCCATACAAGTGGCAGCCCCTGAAGTGAAGCTTCGTGAGCCTTACCGTAAATCTGCCTCAGCATTAAACAAATCTTATTGAGCTTTTCTTTGTCAGGCCCTGTTCTGGATCCCGGGGCTGCTATAGAGAACAGGACAAAGCCCCTCTTTTTGCGGAGCTCATGTTCCAGTAAAGGGGAGCTGACAGTAAATAAGTAAATAATTGAGATCCTTTGTGAATGATAAGTGCTCTGAAGAAAAAAAAATGAGTAATTAGATAAAGACTGGAGATGGGGATTTACCATAACAGGGGAATGGTCTGATTAATTCTGTCTTTGCGAAGGCTTGTTTGAAAGCTGACTATGACATAGGATATAGTAAAGTGAGCAGAGAAGAGAGTAATTCTCTAGTGTCATCAGTACCCACTGACAGGCCGTCACAGAATATATGAATCTCTTTTTTTTTTTTTTTGAGAAACAATTTTTATTTTTTATTTATTTTTTAAGTACATCCCACTAGTTACAGTATATATAGTGCAATGATTTTGTGAATAGATTCTCTAGTGCCCCACCATTTAGCTCATCCTCCCACAACCTCCCTCCCTGCACCCCTCAGTCTGCCTGTTCTCCATAGTTTATGACTCTCTTCTACTGCCCCTGTTTTTTTTTTTTTTTTTTAATTTTTTTTTCAAATCTGCTTTTTATTTATTAGGACAGAGAGACAGAGAGCGAATGGGAGGGGCAGAGAGAGATGAGACACTAGAATGAATCGAACAGCTTTTTAAGTTCCAGGCTCCCAGCCATCAGCCCAGAGCTCGACGCTGGGCTCAACTCACGACCGCTGGAAGACGCGACCTGGCTGAAGTCGGGACGCGAATCCCATCACACACCCAGGCGCCTCCTCTGTTTTTTTTTTAATTTTTTTTTTTTCAACGTTTTTTTTTTTTTTGGGACAGAGAGAGACAGAGCATGAACAGGGGAGGGGCAAGAGAGGGAGACACAGAATCGAAACAGGCTGAAAGACAAAGCCTACAGAGAAACCACGCCAAGACCAGGACTCAGCGAGATTGTGACCTGGCTGAAGTCGGACGCTTAACCGACTGCGCCACCCAGGCGCCCCATTCCCCTCCCTGTTTTTATATTATTTTTGTTTCCTGAATATCTCAATCTCTTAAGGATGAAGGAAAAAAAACTAAGCCACAGACCAGACTTTCCACCTTTTTTCCCCTTGTAAATTCTATACCAATAGCTGAAGTGGTTCTTTTCTTGAAGAACCACTTCAAAATTTACTTCCTTTCAATACAAGAGTAGAGGTCTTCTAGAAAATGGCATCAGGGGTGCCTGGGTGGCTCAGTCAGTTGAGCATCTGACTCTTGATTTCAGCTCAGGTCATGATCTCGGGGTTCATGGGATCAAACCCTTGCATCGGACTCTGCACTGGCAGGGTGGAGCCTGCATGGGGGTTCTCTCTCTGCCCCTCTTGTGCGCATGCTCTCTCTCTCACAATAAATAAATAAACGTTTTCAAAAAAGCAAAGAAAATAACATCAGGCACAACACCTCAGTGTACTCTTTGAAGTTTAACTTGACAAACAGCTCTCATTCCATTTCTTTTGCAAGAACAAACACTGCTTGTTGCAAGCGCAGCTTTGGGAATCCAGTTGCTGCTGTAGGGCTCCAGAATGCCAAAGGGCAATGAGGCAAACAGTTTCCTGTTTATTATTTAAAACAAAATAAACAAAACTTACCTATTGTATTAGCAAACATATAGAAACTCATAAACTCCATTTAGGCACAGTAGTGCTTTTTATATGCTGCAATATAAAACTGTTGCAGCCTTTCTGAAAAATACCTTGGTAACACTCATTAAGAACTTCTACTAACTTGTCATCCTTTGACCCAGTAACTCTCCTTTTTTGATTCTGTTTTTTCTAAAGAAATCAGCAGACATTTGGGCAAGAATTTATATACAAAGACATTCATTGCAGTGTTATTTGTTTTTTGGTTTTTTTTTTTTTTTTTTTAACGTTTATTTATTTTTGAGAGAGAGAGAGACAGAGTGCAAGCGAGGGAGGGGCAGAGAGAGAGGGAGACACAGCATCCAAAGCAGGCTCCAGCCTCTGAGCTGTCAGCACAGAGCCCAACGTGGGGCTCAAACTCATGAACTGCGAGATCGTGGCCTAAGCCAAAATCAGATGCTTAACTGACTGAGCCACCTAGATGCCCCTGTTTTTTTTTAATGTTTATTTATTATTTTTAGAGAGAGGCAGGCTCTGCACTCCCAGCACAGAGCCCGGCATGTTGCTCGATCCCATGAACCATGAGACCATGACCTAAGCTGAGATCGAGAGTAAGATGCTCAACCAACTGAGCCACCCAGGTGCCCCATGTCAGTATTATTTGTAATTGCAAAAATTTGGAATTATCTTATCCAAAAGTGGAGAACGATTGAGTAAATTCATTCATGGCCATGCTGGGGAATTTATGTAGCCATTTCAGTGTTTTTGTAATAAAATGTAAAAATGCAGATAAACATTTATGATATTTTTAAAGAGAAGAACACAAAATTATGTGTTGGGGTAATGCCTATTCTATAAATACATGCATGGGAAAAATAATGAATGGATATATGACAAAATCTTAGTAGTGGTAAGTGCAATAGAATTTATAAAAAGAGAAATACATTTAAAAACCTTTTGGGTTTGGGGCACCTGGGTGGCTCTGTTGGTTAATCATCCAACTTTGGCTCATGTCATGCTCTTACCGTTCATGAGTTTGAGCCCCACATCCAGCTGTCTACTGTCAGCCAGGAGCCTGCTTTGGATTCTCTGTCTCCCTCTCTCTCTTTGCCCTTCCTCCGCTCATGTGCACACGTGTGCATGCTCTCTCTCTGTGTCTCTCTGAAAAATAAACATTAAAAAAAAAAGTACCCTTTGAATTTCTTCAATCTTTTTACCTTATTAGTAAAGAATTTTTGAGAATGCATCTCAAATGTGTGAATTATGTGTGAATTATATGCATTTTGTCATGTACTAGTGTAGTAAGTACATTGTAAAACATTAGCGAAGAGAATCTTTGATTATATCAATATCAGTAGAAGCTTCTATAGCTACTTCTTTGCTCCTGGTATTTTGTGTACTCCTGATTGCTTCCACTCTGCTTTGGAGATTTAGATCTCAAAGAAATAACACAGGAAAATGAATAAAACACACTCTTTCTACTTTTGTAAGAATTATTTAAAACTAACTGATTTTGCTCTCTTAAAATAGGGCATAGAATGCAACACTTGAGTGAAGGATCCAAGGGTCGGCAAGTGGGAAGTGGAGGTGATGGGGAACGCTGGGGCTCAGACAGAGGGTCAAGAGGCAGCCTCAATGAACAGATTGCTCTCGTCCTCATGCGCCTGCAGGAGGATATGCAGAACGTCCTTCAGAGACTTCATAAACTGGAAACGCTAACTGCTTCGCAGGTGAGCTTTTGAATTTGTCTTCTTCCACTGTTGATCCTGTATAACAGCATGTAAGTGTAATCTGTGTTGATCAGATTTATATAAATCAATGTAATGATTTTTTTTTTTAATAAAAAGGATCTAGGGGCGCTTGGCTGGCTCAGTGGATAGAGCATGTGACTCTTTATCTCAGGTTGTGAGTTTGAGCCCTGCATTGGGTGGAGAGATTACTTAAAAAATAAATAAAATAATTTTTCAAAAATTATAAAAAATAAAAAGGATCTACTTTTGAAAATATTGGTTATTAAAGAAAAGACTGATCCAAAAGCTAACTACCACTTCATAGAAAATTTTTCGAGTGTAAAATTACCAGTACCTTGTTAGGGGTAGAAGTAGGGTGCTTGGTAATAGAAGAGGAAGAGCTTTTAAGGGGCTCCTGGCCGCCTCAGTCAGTGGAGCATTGGACTCTTGATGTCGGGGTTGTGGGTTCAGGCCTCACATTGGGTGCAGAGATTACTTCAAAATAAAATCTTTAAAAAAAAAAAAAAAGAGAGAGAGGCTCCTGGGTTGCTTAGTTGGTTAAGTGTCTAGACTCTTGATCTTGGCTCAGGTCATTATCTCACAGTTCATGAGATCAAGCCCCGCATCAGGCTCTGTACTGACAACGTGGAGCCTGCTTTGGATTCTCTCTCTGTCTCTCTCTCTTTCTCTTTCTTTCTCTTTCTCTCTGTGTTTCTGTCTTTCTCTCTCTCTCTCAAAATAAGTAAATAAACTTTAAAAAAAGAGCTTGGGGTGCCTGGGTGGCTCAGTCAATTGAGCATCCAACTTCAGCTCAGGTCATGTTCTCGCAGTTCATGGGTTCGAGCCCCACATCAGGCTCTGTGCTGACAGCTCAGAACCTGGAGCCTGCTTCGGATTCTGTGTCTCCCTCCCTCTCTCTGCCCCTCCCCCGCTTGTGCGTGCATGCGTGTGTGTGTGTGTGTGCGCGCGCACATGCACACTCTCTCTCAAAAATAAATTAAAAAAAAATGTTTTTAAAAGGGATGTTATATAGTGCAGTTCAAGGAAGTAATAAACCATAACTAGTGCTTTAGAGTTCATTATTAAGGAGTCACTCTTTTGTAGTAAACATTGTCCTCTATCTTGACTTTTTATTTTTTATTTTATTTTATTTATTTATTTATTTTTTAACGTTTATTTATTTTTGAGACAGAGAGAGACAGAGCATGAACGGGGGAGGGTCAGAGAGAGAGGGAGACACAGAATCTGAAACAGGCTCCAGGCTCTGAGCAGTCAGCACAGAGCCCGATGCGGGGCTCGAACCCACAAGCTGTGAGATCATGACCTGAGCCAAAGTCGGACGCTTAACCGACTGAGCCACCCAGGCACCCCTTGACTTCTTTTTAAAATGCTGTAGAGATAGTATATTAAGTTACCAATTCTTTAGTGTAAATTAGTTGTAGGATCAAAATTTTAAAGCCAGAGAGGAATGTAGAGTCATAGTTTGATGTTCGCAGTTATTTAACCTTGGAAGAGTAAGAATATTAAACCTTTGAAAACGCACTATAACAAGTCATTGCAGAAACTAAAGCAGAACCCAGGCATCCTGTATCCTAGATCAGTGCTCTTTCTGTACTGAATAAAACTAGACAGTTAAGTATGGAGGAGGTACTAAAGGAAAGGAAAAAGGTTCAGGGGAAGGGCTAGTTCATCTTGGTTCACAGTTTGGGGCTGGGCTGTGATAATCCCTGGATTTGGCTGTGATAATCCCAGGACTTGGCTGCAGAGCCTTCAGATGGCTACTAGTGCTGTGCCCCATTTGTCCTCTGACTTGTTCCTCTTGGAGTAATGTTTATTGCAGAAAAAGGCAACTAAACAGGCTGTCTGACCCATTATATAGCACTGGGGGCACCTGGGTGGCTCGGGTTGGTTCAAGTCATGATCTCATGGTTTGTGGGTTCGAGCCCCATGTTGGGCTCTGTGCTGACAGCTCAGAGCCTGGAGCCTGCTTCGGATTCTGTGTCTCCTCTCTCTGCCCCTCCCCGTCTCTTTCTCTCTCCCTCTCCCTGCCCCCCAAAATAAACATTAAAAAAAAACACATATAGCATTGAAGCATCATGCTGTAAGAGATATTGTTAGTTAATTAAGATATTAAGTTAGTTAATCAAAGATGTGCTTCAGTTCCATGATAAACAAATTAAATATAGATTCATTTAAAGAAACTACTACTGTAGGCTTTTTAAACAACTCCTATGAATATTTTAGCTTTTTTATCCTTTGAGTAACTCAGATTATCACAAGGTTTCTCTATTGTACATGTTTCAATGATTGTCAAGTACATTTTATCATCACTTAGACTGTGACTTTGTTGATGTTCGTGAGCCTATGAACACCTTGTTGATTATTTGTATCTTTCATTAATAATAAAATCTACTTTCTGTATTAGCTTGAGAAAAAATATATTTAAGGCCCATGATCTTGTCAACTATCCCTAGATTAATACAAACTATATTAAAGAATAGCTAACCATGATGGAAAGCTCATTCGTTCATTTAGTATTATTGAATATTACTATTCCAGTAGTCTGGCTTTTCTTATTCTGTGACTAATTATTTATTTTCTATCCTTTAATTTCCAAAGCATGCTCACTCATATCTGACTGAACAATAGTACATAAATATCCTTTTACAATAGGCCAGGACATCCATTTTATCCCAATTACACAAAAGCAAATTAATGCAAAATACTGTTACATGACTTCCTTTCGTGAAATTATAAGACCCTACATGCATATATATTTTTAAATCCCTTTATTCCCATTCCATCTTTTTGGCTGAACTTTATTCATATAATGTCTGCCCGTGTTATAGGACCCTCTCTTGTGGAAGGCATTAGTATCCAGTCACCCAAGCCAAAAGTTGCTCTCCATCCCCCACTTCTAGTCATCAAGTGCTAACAAGACATCTTCTTAAATCTTTCTGGAATGGGTCCCCTCTCCATTAGAATTCCCTTTAGAATTCCCTTTTCCAAGTCCACTTATTCATAACTGTGACGTGAAAGATTTTAGTTGCTCTGCCGCAGTTTTCTTTAGTCAGTGGTGACAGCTCCACATCTATTCACTTTTGTAGTTCTTGTGTCACGGTCATAGTCTTATCAACAGTAGCACAAATGTGATTTTTAATCTCTTCCTGCTCTACAGCAGTTGGTTTAAAGCATGCATACAAAGTTTGATATCCAGACTTTATTGCTGACAATTAATTCCTTTAAGAGTGTAACTGGATTTTTCTTGCTTGCTGTATCAGGATGATTACTCTTAATTTCATATTCCAGCCTGTATTGAAAGTAATCCAGATCAGAGTCAGCTTTCAGGAACATCAGTTCCAGCTTATTGACCTCTACCTCCATGTTGAATAGTTTATGCTGTGACTTTTTAAAAGAGTAATTTGTATACATTTAATGTCTTCATTGGTATTGAAATTCTGCTAAAAGTTCTTTTGATTTTTTTATCTTTTGAAGTTTTCTTTTTCACTCTTGTCTTACATAAAACAAACCAAAAAAAGATTCTGACATGTTAAGGACTTTTTCCTTAAAATTTGCATTATTCACAGCAGCTCTTCCTGCCCGTGGGTCCTGTCCCCATGCTTTAATAAGATCACCTTTTTGCACCCCACACCCCCCCCCGAAATTTTTTTTTGCATAATTCATTTGGATGAAGAAAAGAAGTAAATTGATGGCAAAGTAGTAGTAGATTGTAGAACTAAAGGAAATTTAGTTCAGTACCTCTAGTTCAGCAGATGAAGGAGAGATACAGAGATTCTTAATTGGTGGCAAAGCCAGTTCTATAACTAAACTTTCCAGATTTCTCATGCAGTGCACTTTCCATCACAGCAAGTGTCTGAGATTCATTCACTCAATGAATATTTGGTGAATGGCCACATACCAGATACTTTTCTGGGTAGTGGACACATAAATGAAAAGGGAGACAGCACTGGGTAGCAGACCTTAGAACAAACTACCTGGTTTCAAATCCTGACTCTGCCACTTATTTTTTTTTAGGCTTTTTTTTTTTTTTACGTTTCTTTATTTTTGAGAGACAGAGAGAGAGACAGAGTGTGAGCGGGAGAAGGAGCAGAGACAGAGGGAGACGCAGAATCTGAAGCAGGCTCCAGGTTCTAAGCTGTCCACACAAAGCCTGATGCAGGGCTCAAACTCATGAACAGTGAGATCATGACCTGAGCCAAAGTCGGACGCTTAACCGACTGAGCCACCCAGGTGCCCTCTGCCACTTATTGTTTGATCTTCAGTTAGGTTACTTTACTTTTCTGTGTCTCAGTTTCTTTATCTATTAAATGAAAATACTAATAATACCTACATCATAGGATTGTTCAGAGGATAAATTAAAATGCATAGTACAGTGCCTGGAACATTCATGTGATATTTACATATTGTCACATGAGATGATGGTGGTGACAATAACAATGATAATAAGATTGCTTGGTTTCTTCCCTCAGGAAGTTCACAGCCTTAGAGAGGACCTAACTTAAATAATTCTCTGTCTTCATAGTTTCTTTGCAGTGGTTACAATTGTGTGGGATTTTTCCTTTCAAAAAATATTTTCAGGGGCGCCTGGGTGGCGCAGTCGGTTAAGCGTCCGACTTCAGCCAGGTCACAATCTTGCGGTCCGTGAGTTCAAGCCCCGTGTCGGGCTCTGGGCTGGTGGCTCGGAGCCTGGAGCCTGTTTCCGATTCTGTGTCTCCCTCTCTCTCTCTGCCCCTCCCCCGTTCATGCTCTGTCTCTCTCTGTCCCAAAAATAAATAAACGTTGAAAAAAAAAAAAAATTTTCAAAAAAATTCAGTAATCCTTAGCTTAATCCAGGAATAGAATGGTAAATAGAATTTCTGACTATGCCAAAGCTACATAAAAGCCACTTGATACCAACAAAGATTCTTTGTTCAATTAAACTTCAATCAGACTCTTGAACCTTCTCTTAGGCATCTCTTCACTTCTTCTTTGTAAAATCCAGTTTCATCAAGAACCCTGCTCAGTCAGTTTAACCAGACAGGCTCTTCAGCCTCTGCCTTCCCCCAGGTGCTTTCTGAACACCTGGGCCCATCTTCAGCAAGAATCCTGTTAGATCAGTTTAACTAGAATCTCCCTTACCCCTGATGTTCCCTCTTAGGAATTTTCCACCCACTGATCTCAGCCCTCCTCCTTACACTAAATTCACCCTTGCCCATACTGTATTGGGAAATGAGCCCAGTCTGTCTCCCCCTGACTGTAGAAGTCCCTATACCCAGTGATAGCCCCTTTTCCCTTGAATAAAGTCTTCCTTACTGTGCTTTCACAAGTGTCACTGATTGTATTTTTCTTTAACAACAGGTATGGGTAAATATTAAAGCAAAAACTCGTACTGTTAATTATACAGCTAGTGTCAGTGCTTCGTAGATATGAGCAAGGGTCTTTGGGAATCTTCATTTGCCTTTCCAGACCCTTTATTATTTAGGAAAAAAATCCACTAATGATCAACATCTACTAAGGTAGAGTTCTGATTCTACCTTAGTGTTTGTTAGTAGTTGCTGCTTTAATGAAGAATAGCTGTGTCATTGCATTGGGATTTGATCCCCTCGAGTTCCATTCAAGATCACACTAATGTGACCTTGGATAAGTCATCATATACCTGGAGCCCAGTTTTGTAACTCTACCCTTTATTCCATTTAGTCTAAAGAAACATTTTAAGGTAAATCTCTGGGTTAAATGTTGTTATGCCTACAAGGTACAATTACAACTAATATAAAAATCGTTACCTTGTCCAGATTCTTTCAGCACTTGGCAATTTGAGTATACTTCTACACCTTAATGGTCTGTGAGGACTAATGTACCATCTAGAGGCAACTAAGAGTTTTACCAGTAGGGTATACTGGGGTCCTTGAGATCAAATTACCCACAACAAGTAAATTTAAAGCCTGTCTCCTCCCACCACTTCCTTCGGTTGTTTCAGCATACAGACCTCAGTGCTGTGCCTTGAACCTGCCTGAAGGCTCCCTCCCACCCTGGGTCTTTGTACTTGCTACTGCCTGTGTACAGAAGATTGTTCCCCCCTGTTAGCCACTTAGCATACAGCTTTCTTGTTTAGGTCTTTGCTCAAATGTCATGAAAGCCTTCCTTGTTCATTGTATGTAAAGTTTCAAGACGACTCCTCTAACATGTCTCATCTCCTCTCCCTATTTTATTTTTCTTTATGGTGTTTATCACTGCCTGATGCACTGTATATTTTACTGATTTATTCATTACTATTTGTATCTCTCCATTACAGTTTAAGCTCCACTGGGACAGCACTTTTTGTCATTTTGCTTCCTGTTTTATGTCTAATGCCCAGAGTAGTAACTGGTACATAATAGACGCTCAGTAAATATTTGTTAAATGAACGAATGAATGATCTCATTAATTTTCATACCATTTCTCTCATGTTATAATAAGTGGACAAATGGCACTAATAAGTTTCCAACAACTATTATAAGGAAACTTGTTTTGTGATCCAAATTGGGATATAAGTTTCCTAAATTAATTTGAAATTTTTCGACTTAGTTTAGATATCTCATTGAAAACCCTACAATACTCCTCCCCCTGCCCAAAAAAGTTAACTATGTGAGATGAGGAATGTGTTAATTCATTTGATTATTGTAATCATTTCACAGTGTATATACACATCAAAACATCACATAAATTTATATAATTTATCAATTATAACTCAGTAAAGCTGGGGAAAAGTTAAAAAACAAACCTCAACACTAACAGTTTATTTCTCAAATCTGCCATACCTCTTGTGTTGCAACTTATCGTGACTTTGCAACACAGATCTTTGAATATTATTTATAATTTTAATAATAAGGCTGCAGTTTTTGGATATGTGTGTAAAAGGTAATTTGTATGGAAATTAAAGAATTAATAAGAAAAGTTGATTTATAATTTTTTTTTTTTTTTTGAGAGAGAGAGTGCATTAGTGGGGCAAGGGGAGGGAGAGGAAGAATTTTAAGCAGGCTCCATGCTCAGCATGGAGCCTAAAATTGGGCTGGATCTCAGGAGCCTGAGATCATGACGTGAGCTAAAATTAGGAGTTGGACACTTTACCGACAGCCACCCCGGTGCCCCTGGTTCAGTAATTTAATAACAGTATAAAAGAAGTAACGGTGTAGACTAATTTGAGGTTTTATTTTGATAATTTTATATAATTTGATCTGTAAAATATAAAATGTCAAAGATATTTATTTGACTAGCAATTTAAGGGACCTTGTTATTTGACCAGTATGGATTTCAGGATAATTACAGCATAGTTAACAGAAAAATATACTAAACTAATATTTTGCCTTAAAAAAAAAAGATAGGAAATAGAAGAATTACTGTTTTTATTTTCTCATTTTGTGAAAGCTAAATCACTTTCATTTGTATTTATAGGCAAAATCATCAACATTACAGACCAGTCATCAGCCTCCCTCACAGGTAAGAAATTCTTCTCTTAAATGTAAGTCCCAGGGTTTCCAATAACTTACAATAAATTTAGATTATGTGAGGCTCTTAAAGTATTCCAGATGAAATCTACCCTTTAGCGCTTTGAAATTAAAATATATTTGTTATTGTTTAAGTCTAAAGTACTCCTAAAAGTCTACTTACTGAATTATGCTCTGAGATACTGAATATCTTCCTTCTTTAGCAGGACTGAGATTTGTTATTAAGGTGTATATTTTCTAAAATATGAATTAGGTATTTTTTATGTTTATACATGTAGTAGACAGGTGACCAGCTTATTTTATTTTCTCAGAGACCATCTTGGTGGCCCTTCGAGATGTCTCCTGGTGCATTAACTTTTGCTATCGTATGGCCTTTCATTGCCCAGTGGTTGGTGCATTTGTATTATCAAAGAAGGAGAAGGTAATGCTATGGCTTTATAACTCAAAATAGTATGCAAAATCTTATCTATAGGAGACAGAGCTTTCAATAGCAGTTAAGAGGACAGTTCTGTTTTATAGATACATTGTCATACTGAACATTCTGCACTGATCCTGAGACTGAAACTACCTTGGAAATGATGTCTAGCGGATTTCTAGGTACTTGTTAGACTAAAAAATTAGAATCTGATGTTTATTTTGGGCCCTTTCTAATGTTAAAGAACTCTAGACAAGGGATAAATAAATAATGCCTGCATGCTGTCTATACCTTTGGAATAGACGTGGACATTCCAGAATATTTTAGCCAGGTGGTTGATGATCTCTAGAAATAGAGATTTTTCTAATTTGAGGGCCAAAATTCCAGTTTGGGATGCCAGGAGATACCTCAAAAAGGTATGAGAATAATAGATTGGGATCCTTGACAGGGCTCTGAGGTTGTCTAGGTTAGGAACCTGAGGCTGAATCTCTTGGGTCAAAGGAAATCCTTAAGGCATTTTTTTTTCGATACTGTGTAAACTGAATTACATTCCATGGATGGGCATATAGACAATTGTTTACCTCACTGATGGCCTCACTTACTGTGTTTTTGTATTTCATCACCATTTCCCATTAAGTAACAACAGTTGGGGAGAAGAAATAGGGTATTTGATAATAACATTTTAAGTGCTCTCTTAAATCTGTGCAATAGAGACACATTTTTAAGAATCTACAAGTTTAAATAATTAAGGGTATATGTTCTTCTAGCAAACAACCCAAGTTCCTAATTAACTACACTAACAAAAGCAGAAACCAGACATTTGCGTTTCGCTTCTCTAAAAGGGATAAGCAGCATACTAGTTATGTAAACAGTGCTCCAGTGATCATAGTTGATGGCAGAGAAACTAAAATGCATGGGGATTTGGATGGATCAGTCTTCCTGATTCCAGCTTATGTTAAGACAATTTTATTTATGTTCATAAAAGAACTAAATAAGTTCTGTGCCACATTAATGTTCTTCCAATACACCCACTCACTTGAAAAAAATTTCAGTAGGATTTCAGAAGCACAGATTGCTTTCACAGTATTATTTACCTCTTTCCTAAGGCATTTGTTACAGATGTCATTTCAGGTGTGTGTAAGATTTGTTAAGGGTTCAACAAACCTGAGTTTAAATTCTTTTTTTCTTTTTTTTTTTTTCAATTTTTTTTTTTTTTTAATAAAGTTTTTACCAATTTCTTTTTTTTTTTTCAACGTTTATTTATTTTTGGGACAGAGAGAGACAGAGCATGAACGGGGGAGGGGCAGAGAGAGAGGGAGACACAGAATCGGAAACAGGCTCCAGGCTCTGAGCCATCAGCCCAGAGCCCGACGTGGGGCTCGAACTCATGGACCGTGAGATCGTGACCTGGCTGAAGTCGGACGCTTAACCGACTGCGCCACCCAGGCGCCCCCAATTTTTTTTTAATGTTTGTTCATTGTAAGAGACAGAGAGACAGAGCATGACGGGGGGAGGGGCAGAGAGAGGGAGGGAGAAACAGAATCCGAAGCAGGCTCCAGGCTCTGAGCTGTCAGCACAGAGCCCCACATGGGGCTTGAACTCACCTCGAGATCATGACCTGAGCCGAAGTTGGACACTTAACCACCTGAGCCACCCGGGTGCCCCAGTTTAAATCCTTTCTAATTTTCACACATTTTACATTTCTGCTATGATGGTTGGGTTTAGTGCTACACAGTGCTTCAAATTTTAATTTCCCTGACAATTGGAGGAAAAAAGAACCAAAGCTTTTTTTCACTATGTAGTAAGAATGCTAGATTCAAGCAGCAGGGCACAGTGGCACTAAAGATAGGTTTTGACATATTTTGCAATGCATTTCAAAGTTCCTTTTCATGTTTCCTTTATAAAAAGTTGAGGATTGAAGAGTAGAGAAATTTGGCACAGCACAAAAACCCTAAAGCTTACTTTGGTTAATAATTTATTTTATGCTTAAGTTTGAAACAGCTTGTCACTTATTAAAGACTGAAAGAGAAAACAACTACTTTGCTTCAGCAGTCACCAAAAATTGCAATTTTTCTAGAATTAAAAAAAAATTTTTTTTAACGTTTATTTTTTTTTATTTTATTTTTTAATTTTTTTTTTTTCAACGTTTATTTATTTTTGGGACAGAGAGAGACAGAGCATGAACGGGGGAGGGGCAGAGAGAGAGGGAGACACAGAATCGGAAACAGGCTCCAGGCTCTGAGCCATCAGCCCAGAGCCCGACGCGGGGCTCGAACTCACGGACCGCAAGATTGTGACCCGGCTGAAGTCGGATGCTTAACCGACGGCACCACCCAGGCGCCCCTTAACGTTTATTTTTAAGAGACAGGCAGAACACTAGCGGGGGAGGGGCAGAGAGAGAGACACACAGAATCTGAAACACGCTACAGGCTCCCAGCTCTAAGCTGTCAGCACAGAGCCGATGCAGGGTTCAAACCCATGAACCACGAGATCATGACCTGAGCTGAAGGTGGACCCTTAACCGACTGAGCCACCCAGGTGGCCCTAGAATATTTTTTTAAGATTACTCCTTACTAGTAGATGTCTACACCATTTCCCTTAAGTATCCCTATCAGTTATTTGTAGAGGTCTCCAAATGGAGAAACTGTTACTGATTTTTAATGTTCCACTTTGTTGAATTTTTATCAAGTTTTCAGTATGTTAAGTGTTTAGTCCTTCCCAATTACCAATTATTTAGCACTGTGCAACTGCATGTTGATCAGATAGTGTTTTTAGGTATTGTTTGCTTATATACAGAACAGATTAGCAGGTTGGAGATAGAGCCATATTTGATATGGAAATAAGTTTCAGCTTTGAGGGGATTTAGACATCTTTTAATCTGGAAGTATGTAGCAATTTTTAATCTGATAGTTACAGGAATGAAAACTAGAGAGTGGTGTGTCTGGTTTGGAACAGACAACTTCTGTGTTAGAGATGAGGAGAAAGATCCAGAAATCCAGTTAGGGTGGAAAAAGCATGGAATGCCCCATTCATAATAGGGACCATCCTGTGTCTTATCCCCTAATACAATGTCTGGCATGTAGGAGGCTTACAGTAAATGTCCCTTACAGTAAATTGGAGGCATACCGAATGCATGGCTGAATGGTCACAATTTGTAGGATGGCAAACTGAAGTACCATATGATGCAGAAAGCTTTCATTTTTTAAAGTTTATTTAATTTTAATTTTTTCTTTTTATCTTATTTAATAACTATGCATCTGGTAACAAACAGTTCCATGTATATATAAAATAAGTAGCTATGTGTGGTAAACTTTTTTTTTTTTAAGTTTATTTATTTTGAGAGAGAGAGAGAGAAGTATCATGGTAGGGGCAGAGAGAAGGAGAGAGAATCCCAAACAGGCTCCTCACTGTCAGTTTGAAGCCCGATATGAGGG